CTGAATCGCGTAATATTCCATCTTGCTGCTGATCTCTGGGGGAAAAGGGAGCAGGTGGTCAGCCCAGCACAGCTACAGGGGAACAAATCCCGTGGGCTGCTTTGATTTTTGTCAGTCCAGACCATCCTGTTGGCAAAAGAAAGTTTAAATTGTCTTCCGACTCTATGGCAAAGAATTATTGTGCTTCATCTAGTCTTAAAATTAGACCTGAAAATAAATCACACTTTCTGGTGTGTGTCCATAGGCTGGGCACATCATCTGCCTGGGAGTTCTGTGGCGTGTGGCAGCCTGGGGCCCTCGTCCGAGGGGGGGGGTTTAAGTGCTGCTGCAATAATGCCATGTTTGTCAAACAGCAGCAATGCAAGGAGGCTGAGGGAATGTCTTTTTCCATCTGCAGAAGTCTGAGGCACCCTAAAGAGGTTACACATGGCTTATGACCTGGCACTGCCCAGTTGGTTTGGACATAGACACTATCTCAAGGTTGTGGTCTCAGTTCAAACCCCCCTGTTGGGTCCCTGCAGCTGGTTGAGTTGACCCTTCCCAGCCTGCAGAGTTTACCCACCTCCCACTGCCAGGCCTGGAACACCAGCCACTCTGCAACACCAGCCTCCTCCTCCCTTGCAGCCTATGATGTGTGCAGCTTTGGCCCCTGCTCATCACTACTGCTGTGGATACCAGGGCTGGGAAAGCCAGCACTGTGCATCTGTAAGGTGTTTATTAAAAATAGATGTGCAATTGTGGTCCCACTGCTGCTTTGGCAGAGTGTCTTTGTGTGCAGCTTCTTGCTGTCTCCTCAGCTCATTAGTGAAGCTTTAGAGGCTCATACTGAGCAGTAACTGATCATGACCAGCAGCTCCATGGGTTTCTTTTTCCTTCTCCTGCTGGCACAAGCAGGTGTGTGTGGACACAGACACCTTGCCCCTGCAGGGCTGATGCCCTAGTTTTGAGCGTGGTGGAAATAATTTTCACCTACTTGTCTCCAACTGAACAAGCCCTCTCTTTTTATTCACAGCCAAGGGGAATCTTCTTCTGCCACAGCTCAACTGGATGGTACTATTTGTGTGACAAACTAGATCCATGTCTGCCTTCTGTGGGTCCTGTCCTGCCCATAACCAATTATTATTATAACAGGATGACTCACAGAGGCCAACCAGTGATTGTCAGTGATGCACAATGAAGCTCATGCAGACCTATTGTTGAAATAAAACGTGACAGATGGACAGAGTCAAAGGTGATTTAGCATCACAGTTGTAAGAAGGCAGCACAAATGCAGCATCCCATGAGCCTGGGCTCAGCCTGCCTCCTTTGTGTGATGGGATATGTTAACCCCACAGTGTTTGTGGAAATAAAGCAGTGGTTGGAGCTCCAATGGAGATAACAATAAGCAAGGATAACAGCTGATATGTAACCACTCTTCCCCACACAAGTTGCCACAGATCTTACAGTAACTGCTCTAAGACAGAACTAGTCAGGTCTGTTGATGAAGTATTTCTATGTACAGAGGGCTGTAGGACTTGAGCTGCCAGGCAGCCCTTCTGCTTTGGTGCCATGTGCAGCTTGGGTACACTTGGCCTTGCCAGAGGCTGGGGGCAAGCAGAGTGCTCTGCAGCAGGGTGGAGGCTTGCAGGATGCAGGGGTGCAAGGGGCTGGGCTGCTCCTGGGGACCCTCCCCTGGGCCTTTATTGCTTGCTGGAGGTACTGGAGAGGAGGCTGCCATTGGTTTAATCTCAGTTTTATGTATCAGCAAGATATGGCCTCTAAATAGGAAAAGACTTCATCTGGGAAGGTGTAAAATATTTACATTGACTGTCAGAAGACAAGTTATGTTTTGAAATTTGTGCTACTTCTAGAGATGCTTTAATTGATCTAGCAAGTTGTCCAATGATGGCAGTTTTAAGCTTCATCTGCATCCCCCTCACATCATGTGGGCAGATGAGCAGGACACTGAGATAATAGATGACAATTTGTCCCAACATTTTAACATGAAAAAGCTCTTGGTTTCATTTGTTTCCTAATTTTGGGAGATCATCATCATGGTTACCCTTCCTCCTGTGAAACAGCATCACTAGAACCATTCCTGGTGCTCTGCACTAGCCACAGTTTTTAAAGTTCTGCCTTTCACTGGAGGCAGTGCTTGCTTTGTGGGAAATGGGAATGCAGTTTCCCAATCCTGCTGCTGCATTTCAGGAGAAAGAAAAAACAAAACCAAAAAGGGCAAGAGGACAACAGTTACTCTGTAATGCTCTGTAGATGTGTCTGGGCCCAAATTCACTTGCAAATTCTGGCCAGATGAAGCAATAAGCAGCTTGAAAAGAAAATCACCAATCCTTCCCACACTGAGCTTTGGGAAGCTGTAAGTTCTCCAAATTATTTACTATTCAGCATCCTTTTCTTTTCAGAAGCACATGGATGAAGGTATCTGTACCAGGACAATCCTGCTTAGCAACAGCTAAAAGGTAAAACTGGATTTAATGTAGCACTCACTGGTGTGATCACCAGGATTAGTCAGACCTGACTGGGGGTTCAAAAGGGAAAGCACAGTTTGTTGAAACTCTAGCTATTTCTATGCCCTCTCTGACTTATCAACAGGGGAGGGGAACATTTACTTGTATGAATCTGCTGACAAGACACAGAGCACTCTCACCTCCCATTGCTGCTCATACCTGTGGCTCCATCCACCCCCAATCTGATCCTGGCTCTTGTTTTACCACAAGTGCATAGAAATACCTTGAGCAGCTATTCCAAAAGACAAAGGACATCAGCTGAATTAGCTGGAAGCACTTAGTGCAAACCTATTAGCTATGGTTTTGCTCTGTCAAAGGGAGAAAAAAAGAAAGGGAAGCTCTTGTTCTGGGTGTCAGCCCAAGTCAGCCCATGGTGTCAGTTGTCCTTCAAGAGAGACAAGTTCTTGCCATGGCACTGAAAGCTGCAAAAGCCTTGTGGGGGAGCTGCTTTGTGAGAGTGCCCCAGTGCTGGGACACGTTTGTGCTGGGGGTTTCATTCCTCCTTGACACTGACCTGAAGCAGAAAAAAAGAATCTATGTACCTTGGATGTTGTCCCTCGTGTTGCTGAGCTGCTGCACAAGCTGGGTAGCACGGTGGTTGGTCTCCATGGTTTCCTTCTGGACCAACAGGCCTTTGCTGGATGCTTCATTTCCCTGCGAATAAATCATGGGAGGGATACATTAGGTTTCTTTCCAGATCCATGTGCATGTGTGAGGATGAGCAGAGTAAACAGACATTTTGCTTTCCCCTGATGGGCCTGTGAAAGTCGGTGTGTCACATAAAGTGGCATTTACAGAGGTGTCTGGAGTGAAGGGCTGTCTCGTCGGTGCTCCCAGAATTGAGCAGAGAGGGATTAAAATCTGTCCGTATTTATCCATCATTTGTTGCAATCAACTTGCCATAAATTATGCAGAGTTGTAAAGCTCCCATCTGCTGAGTCTCCCAGGCATTTAGCAGGGCGGGCTCGTTTTGCTGGGAATGGTGTTTCCTGAGCAAGCAGGCAGACTGAAGAATGAGATGTCAAGCTCACAACCATTTTTAGATCAATGTCTCCCTCAAGTGAGGTCCCCAGCTCTGCAGCTTGATAAAATTCAGGAAGAGCATGAGGACTGAAAATCCTCTGAAGACCACAGCCACACTCCTAGGACATGTTATACTGGAGGGTGTGCTTGGCATTGCATTCCCAGACATGTAAGGAAACAGAGTTACCATGTCATAATTACCAGCTCTCCTAGAAGATCATTGACTTTGGGACTCCTTAGATTTAATTTTCACTGCTATTTCCCAGGAGTGAGGGGAAAAAACAAAAAGACTGCTGTGCCTTTGATATTTTCTGGCCCCTGTGGGTGTGTGGGTGTTGTGTGTGTGTGTGTTTGCACATTTGAAGCCCACACCATATGCTTGCCAGTGGTCAGGAGTTCAATTCAGCCCTTGGGGCTGCAGCAGCAAAAAATTCCCACTGTAAAATTAGTTTCTGGGTTTGAGGTGCCCTGACACCTTGGAAGCCAGAATAAAACAAATATAAGGGCTTATAGAAAGGTTTTAATTGTATTTCTATGTACTTGTTTTATTAGTCTTTGAAGCAAAAGCAGTATGTTTCCTATTAGTTTTCCTCTATTGCTCTCAGGGCTCCTGTGGATGGGATGCTCTGCTGCTCAGCATCACCCCTTCATGGTGATTTTAAGCATCTTGCTGCTGTTTATACACACTCTTGCCTTTACATAATACTCTTTCCTCTCCCAGTTTTTCTTTAACTATTGAGCACATGAGGAATTCATAGAATAGAATAGAATCATTAAGGTTTGAATGGATCTTACAGATCAACAAGCTCTAACCCCCCTGCCATGAGCAGGGAACCACCAGCCCAGGCTGCACAAACCCCATCCAACCTGGCCTTAAAAACCTCCAGGGATGGGGCATCAACAACCTCCCTGGGCAACCCATTCCAGCTCCTCACCACCCTTAGGGTGAAGAATTTCTTCAACTAACCTAAATCTCCCTTCTCTCAGTTTAAAACCATCACCCCTTGTCCTGTCACTGTCTTCTCTGATGAGAAGTCCCTTCCCAGCTTTCCTGGAGCCCCTTCAGGCCCTGGAAGGTGCTCTGAGGTCTCCCTGGAGCCTTCTCTTCTCCAGGCTGAACACCCCAACTCTCCCAGCCTGGCTCCAGAGCAGAGCTGCTCCAGCCCAAGGATCATCTCTGTGGCCTCCTCTGGACTCTCTCCAACAGCTCCATGTCCTTCCTGTGCTGAGGGCACCAGAACTGGACACAGCTCTCCAGGTGGGGTCTCAGCAGAGCAGGGTTTTGCTGATTGCTGTGACCTTGATGGGAAGCACAGCAGCATGAGTGAGGGACACTCTTAGGGACCCTCAGATTCCCACTGATGTTCCCAGGCTCATCCTGGACTTGGTGCAGGGCCCAGGAAGGAAAGGCTCTCCCTGCCCCAGATCTCTGCCAAACACTTGGGACTGAGCTAAGTGCTGTTTTGCTCTAACCCCATTCCAAGCAGGCTCAGGGAATCACAGCTCACATTTACTCTTCTGATGGAGCAGGAGGATTTGCCCATGGCTGGTGCATTATTCCTGCCCTCAGGGTTGAGATCAGCCCCTCCAGTGACCCCTCAGGCAGGGGGACATGCAGGGGAAACACTGCAAGTGGAAGATGGGGCAAACCTCTGCCAAACCCAGTCAAGCCCTAGCACCCATCTTCCCTAAAAGTGCCTTGAAAGGGAAAAAGGTTCAAAATATTCAGAGCTATTGCTGTGGCCTTCCTCCCACTGTGAGAGCCTGGGGCTGCCACTTCCCTGCCTTTACAGGCAAGCACAAGAGTTCACATGGCACAAGCTTTGGATCTAACCAGGGGGAAAGGCCACAGGAAATGCTGAATTTTTTTCTTCAAGGACAACCAGACTGAGGAATGAGCTGAGAAATCCCCACGTAGCACTAAAGATGACAAAAATCCAAATTCACTAAATATTCCTAGAAAATCTAATGCCTTAATCATCCTGCTGACACAGAGGGACCCTGGGGAATCCTGCAGTGCCCTTTCTGGGTAAGTGCTGATTAAAAACACCCAAACCCACATTTTCTCTTCCATCTCTCTGTACAGCCCTTTCTCCTCTTCCTTTGTGTTTGGTTTTTCCTGCTGCTGGTTCTTCCATTTGAATTTCAGTTGAAGATCTAATTTTACTTTGTCTTGTGAAGGACTTGTTAAGTGCACATAAGGGCTGGCACTTTGCAATAAGCATGAAATATCCCCTAGTCATCCTGCAGCTGGGGCTACCTCTGGCAATAGCAGAGTGATGCATCTCACTAATGTCTACATCTTAGCACCAGAAAACTATTTAATAACACATGTTTAAAACAGAGGAGAAGCAATTTTGAACCTTATTACTTCTCTTAACATACATCAGCATCCTTCTAGGGTGCAATGAGTGTGTTATGTGAGCTAAGAGCAGATGACCTTAATTTTATAGCCTGGCAATTGAATGTGGATGTAACCTTCATATTTACAATTGTTTTAAAACATATATTGAGGCTGATCGAGCTCCCATCCCAGTGGGTGCATGACAGACATTTTAACATGGCAGTTTGGTAACATATTTTGAAATGTCTAATCAGGGCTAATTTAATTTTATGAGGACATGCATGTGAAACAGATCCAGTGCAAACACTGCCCAGGTCAGTCTGAATTACTGTAGTGTTGGTTCCTTTGCTCAATTAGGAATCAGGATTTGAAGCAGGAAGGCAGTGTGCCTGTCTCAGATGAAACATGTCCTTGTTGCCTGGGGGGGCAGGGGGGTCCCCAGATCCTGAGGGGATCCTCGTGGGGATGGGTGACAAACCTCCCAGCACATTCCACAGGCTTTGGCCCTACATCCTTCCTTTTCTGGGAGGAAGTCTTGATAGGTCACTTATGCTTTTAATTCAGAGGTAAATTTAAGTAGAGGGATTAGAGATAGACAATAGGAACAGAAGGTTCTCCTGAGCATCTTTCAGGGCACTCCCACTCTTTGTTGGTGAACCTAGAGGTTCAGACTAGATCTTAGGAAACATTTCTTTACTGACAGAGTGTTCAAACACTGGAATGGGCTTTTTAGAGAGGTGATCAATGCCCCAGTGTTAAGAGGCACTTGGACAATGCCCTGAACAACAGGCTTTAACATTTGTTCAGTGGCACGACTGAAAGGGACGAGCACTTGGACTGGCTGATCGCTACAGATCCCTTCCAACTGCAACTAGTCTGTCAAACTCACATGCCAGCACGAAAATATGACAAAGTGCAAACCCTCAGAGCTCTGGCAGGGGGTTATAGACACACCTGTTCATCAAGTGTTGCTGTCTCTCTCAGGAGATCATTCATTTCATCCGCAGCATCATCCACCTGGATGGTCCAAAGCGCAGCGTGGTTCTTTTTTTTGGACATGGCTGCCTGTGTGTGAGGGAAAGAACTCAGTGACCTGGAGGGACAGTATTTTTCTCTCTTGAGAGGAGAGATCTAGAACCACAGGAATGAAATGGAGGTGGATAGCTTAGAATGACATTAAGAAATAAAATGCCATCTGTGTTTGCACCTGGAGATGGGTGGCCGTGAGGTTCAAGTCATTCAGGCGCTTTTGAGCTGCAACACCAGTAGAAATGCTCAGTAACGTGGCTTTGCTTTCATCAATGGCCAGGACTGCCAATCGGATGTCATCTGTCAGGTCCCAGATACACTTGTCACAGCCTGGGAAGAAGAGAGTGTCATTTTTCTCTAGTGCTTTTGTCAGTGAACAGCACATTCACGTGGTAGTGCTCTTGCCCCATGGGGTTCCCTTTGTCACTGAAGGATGCCCGTGGGTACCCATTTCCCTTTCACTTTCACCCACCCCCTTCCAAGGTCCCACAGGACAGTCAGGAGGCTTCCAGCTGAGCAGCTCCAGCTGGGATTGCTCCCAGAGGCTCCATCAGCAGCAGGGGGGAGAGGGGAGGCATTTCCTGGCTATTCCCTAGAGGAGCTGCGTGTTTGGGGCCCAAGGACCAACAGACGGGGGTCACCAAAACAACTGGATTTTGTCAGAGCCCAGCACTCTGTGTATAAAACCTGGTGGTAAGGATGTCCAGCAGATGGGCTTTTGGCTGCCTATCTAATTAGGAAGGCAACTTCTAAAGATGCAGTTACAACAAGCTGGGAACACACCCGTGCAGAGCTATGTCCCTGTCCCTGCTGAAGGCTTGCAATGTCACCTGCTGTGTGCTGACACTGGGGCCACCACTGAATGCAGCAGACTTAGGTCAGCATACAACACACTGCCCTACAGAAACCTTTTCCTGGTATTATGTATCTGTATTCCTGATGGCAGCAGCCCCCCCAACGTTTTCCTTCTGGTTTTACTTCCAGGCACATGGCCCCTCTTCCTGGGAGGGGGTTTAGGAATCTGTCTCTGCTGCACAGCCTGTGCTGTGCCACAGGCACACTCACACTGACGTGTGGAAGTGTCAGTGGTTACCAGCAGTCACTACGTAGTGCTGCTGGAAGGTCCCCAGGCTGCCTGTCACTGGAGTAGGTGAGAAGATAGTGGGAAAGGAACTGCCTGATGGAGGTATGTCAGATTGCCCACAGCAGCAGCTGAGCCTAGGAGTACAACTGAGGAACCAGGAGTGCTCTGCAAGAGGGCACAGGGAAAGCTGTGATAGCAGTTTCTAGGGCCAGAGTATTTTGCAGGCACCACGTCTCAAAATCTGGAGAAGTGGCTTTGGTGACACTTCCCTTCTGCTCTCCAGTTTGTGCCTGAATGGTCAGCCTGTCTCACAGGGCTGGACCTGTGCACATCAGCCAACCAAGTGAGAACATGTTTAAATGCCCATCCAGTGGCACATTGTGCACATTCACAAGTTGTAAGTGTCCTGTGGGACCAAAGACAAAGGGCTGAGCCCACTGGGGAACCCAGCCATCAAGTCAGCATTTGTCTGCATCTAAATACAAGAGTGATGGTAATTTTGTTTGGTGTTCTCATGATAATCTTCTTACTGATGGTCGGGCAGTCTGTGCCAGTAGAAACTTCAGGACTGTCTGCGAGGCATTCTCCAGTCTGGCTGTCACACATTCTCCCTCCACAGTTACATTCTGGGGGAAAGAGAAAGGAGTTTTGAAAAAAGAATCTTCAGAAAGCACAACCCATCTTTCCTCTCCCAAAACTCATGAATTGATTGTGTGTGGGATTGTGCATAGATAGTCCAACCAAAATCAATGGCTTTTTGGACTGATTTTTCCTGTAGGGTGTATCCTGGGAGAAATATTTCCTCTGTATCTTGGGCTGCACCAGAAGCAGCTTGGCCAGCAGGTCAAGGGAGGTGATTCTCCCCCTCTGCTCTGCTCTGGTGAGACCCCACCTGGAGACCCTTGCTCAGACACATGGGAAATGCAGAACACATCACCAGACTGAAAACTAGCAGAGACTGGTGGAGGATTGGGTCAGGACAGCAAGGACAGTCCTGCTCCCATAAAAACTTCTTTCAAGTCTTTAACTGCCATCACTCTGAGTGGTCATGTGGGGTGGCATGTGCTGTGAACAACCACCAAGGGGAAGTCTCTGCCTAAAGGAAGCTCAGAGACCCCCTGCTCTAAAACAAGACGCAGGACACAACGGTGCCTATTTGTCCTACCCAGGCATTTGAGATGTTGGGTTCTTGGGTCTGAGTCTTCCTCATGAGCAATGGAAAGAGGCCCAGTGCCTGGGATGATGCAGCCAAACAGGCAGCCAAATTATCATAGAATCAGAATCACAGAATCATCCTGGTTGGAAGGGACCTTGAAGACCACCAAGTCCAACCATAACCTAACTCCCCCTACCATAACCTTATTCAGTGCTTCAATCATGTCCCTGAGCACTGTATCTTCATTTCTTTCACACACCTCCAGAGATGGTGCCTCCACGCCCTCCCTGGGCAGCTGTTCCCCTGTCCAACCCCTCTTTGGGTGAAGAAATTCTCCCTGATACCCAGCCTAACCCTCCCCGGGTGCAGCTTCAGCCCGTTTCCTCTGGCGCTGCCATCCTCCCCTTGGGAGCAGAGCCCGACTCCCACCTCCCTACACCCTCAGGCAGCTGCAGAGGGCACCGAGGCCTCCCCGGCTGTGCCCCCCTGACCCGCAGGCAGTACCTGTGCAGTTCTTGGCCACCCTGGCATCCCCGAAGTACCCGGGGGCGCAGCGCTCGCAGCGGGGGCCGCTGCTGCGGTGCAGGCAGTTGCGGCACCGCCCCGTCACCTCGTCGCAGTCCTCAAACAGCAGGTTGGGGTCCGAGTTGCCGCTGCAGTCGCACTTCTTGCACGTGCTTCCCACCAGCAAAGGGTTCCCGTAGTATCCCGGGGCACACCTGGGAGGGGAGGAAGCCCAGCAGTGAGGAGCAGTCGCCTTTCCATCCCCGCTTTGTCTCTGACCTTGTCGGGCACTGACCAGGCCCTGCAGCTGCTGAGGGGCAGAGGGCAAGTGAGGAGTTCCCTTTCCATCCATACAGTTACCTATTTTTCCCCTTCTTGTACACGCCTGGCATCTCAATCCCACCAGTCTGCTTTACTTTTACATTATTTTTGGTGTGTGTGTGTACCTTTAGCAGCCAAGTGATTCGTTCCCCATTGTTTTAAGAAACCTGTGAAAGAGTGACCTTGGCAGAGAGGCAGCTCTGGTGTTTGTTTTGGCCTCTTTCAGCTTGGGATCTTACCAGCTATATCGTGCTACGTAGGAACCTGGAGTAAGAGGCTGCATTTCATGATGCTGAAACTCTGAGGAAGTTCATTACAATGATGTAACGAAGCACCGAGCAGAAAATGGTTTATAAAAACAGCAGTGCAGCGTTGGGGTTCTGGTTTCTATAAAACAGAACAAGCACTGAACCAGCCTCCATTTTTCAGGTTTGTTTGGTGTCAGCCCCTGGGCTGGGGGGAACAGGCTGGGAGCAGCCACCAGCCCAGGAGGGGAGGGTTCCTCTGCTGGTTTGCAGAGGGAGGGAGGGAGGTGGGTAACAAGGACTGAAACAGATCCAGGCTGCTTTTGGTGTCTTTTCACATCTGGGAGTTATTTCAGTTGGAAACTTGGTACATCTTAAAAAGGAAGAGATGTTGAAGCTGTCGTGGGTTCTGAAAGTTATTGAATTTCACCCCGTTTTATCACCCTGCTGTCCTTGCCTCTTTTCCCATCATGAAGTCCTGCTGTAAGACACTCTCTGCTCTGCTGTTTGTTGAGCTCTCAGGCAGCTCAGTTCAATTTTCACAGCTTTCTGGCTGGGGACCTGAGTCCAGGTCTGTCTTCTGCTAGAATCTGAACATAGTCAAACCCAAGTTCTGCTACATCCCGACAATCAAAATGTGGGAGATCTGATAAGAGCTTCCAGTTTTGATCTGTTCCTACATTTCCTGATTTCTACTTTTTTTCTTTATTTATTTAATAAAGAAAGTAATTTCCTCTGTGCTGCTTTGTTCACGTTCCAATCCTGAGCCCCCACAGTAAAAACACATAAAATTTTAAACATCTTAATGTAAACCACTTGGCTGCATCAAATATTGCCTTTGCCAGTGGCAAAGACTCTGCCTCTTTGCAGCACTGCCAGAATCTTTTGTGCAGATCTTATCATTTGGGTGACCCAGATGTAAAGAACAGAAGTGTGACCTGGACTTCTGTCCACCCCTTGAAGAGCTGGGAGTGTGACCTGGAGCACAGTGAGTGTGATGTAGCTGATTTCGGGGGAGTTACTCCCCATTCCCATGGGAATGAGAGCAAGCAGTGATGGGAAAATGCTACTTTTTAGTCATGCCAAAAGTCTTGCTAGAATTTTCTAATATTTAAGCCAACCTGAGGTTGCAGAGCTTTCCCAAATGTCAGAATTCTGGCATGTTTATGAAGCTTGAGCAAGGAAAAAAACCCTCTGTGTTTTTATTTAAAAAAAAAACCCCAAACCCAGCACATCAGTGAATCATTATATTTATCCTGAACTCTTAAAATCTTGCAGAGTTGCTTTTTAACACCCTGCAGTGAGGTGTTTTCCACATGGCTGCCTGTCTGCCCTGCCCTCGAGCCACAGCATCTCCTGAGCAGGGCAGGGCCAGCCCCGCGTGGTGCCCGTGGCCGCCCCGCTGGGGCTCTCAGCCAGCACCCACCAAAGGCTGTGTGTGCTGCTCCTCCTCTCAGCAGGACACAGTGGGTTTATTTTTTCTTTCTCTTCTGAAATATCCCACTCAGTTCCCTTGCCAGAAAGGTGGTGGGCAGCTCCTCCCAGCCTCACAGATACGTTCTGTAAGTGCTGCTTTTGATGAGCGCCTGACTCAGTTTCGTTAGCCAGATCTGCTCATCTGGAGTAGCTGTCTGAACACAAATAGGAACTTTTAGAGCTGAAAATAAACCTGTCACCTTCACTTTCCCCTTCCCTCTGCTACTCAGTGCATCTTGTAGGGTTGAGCTGTGCTTGGCCTCTTTGGAAGGGTTGGTGCAAGAGCAGAGGCAGCTGGATGGAAACATCTGCTGCTCCATCTCTGCACTTAAGTCCTGGAAAAGCAGAGGGCTGCAGGAACTGTCTTTTCCTCTGGTGTATCAATAAATGACTCTGATGCTAACAGAGAATATTTCCTCTTCCATAGTAAAGCTGCTACCTTATCTTTGTTTCTTTTTACAGCCATGTTTGCTTCCTGTAATTATTGGTGAGTAAGAAATTAACTTCCTCTTCCCCAGCAGTGCCAAAATAACCCTTTCCATCTATTCACTTTGGACACGGATCTGTCATTTGCTCAGTTATTAACATTTGGGCATAATCAAAACTTGCATTTCATCTGCTACCCCCCTTAACATGTCACTGCTGAAGTCCAGGAGCAAAAGCATTCATTCCTGGATTAGGAATTGGGAAGCTGGCTTTCTCAGCTCCTAGCAAAGGCCTCTGTGGTTTCACAACCCCCTTTTCTGGCAAATATAAAGCGGGTAGGTCTGTGCCAAGCCCCTGGAGCTGCACAGGAAAGCCTCCCACATGGATGCCAGAGGAAAAGGAGCAGATTGCCCCCCCATGTGCTGCTCTGGAGCTCCCAGGTGCTGCCCGTGGAGGAGTGTCCTGCCCCTCACAGCCCCTTGGCACCACCACCCATGCTGTGCAGAGCTGGGAGGGAGCCCAGGGAGCAGGACCTCACCTTCCTCACCCTGGGGGCACGAGCTGCTCTGCTTGGGCTGCCAACAGGGACAGACAGGGGCAATGCCAACAGGGACAGGGGCAATGCCAAGGGGGACAGGCTGTTTTCCTTTTGCAGCTCTTTCCAGCCCATCCACACAGCTTTGTGTTCCTTGAGACAGACAGGCTGCATCAGGCTGGGTGGTGGTTGTTGGGAAGCAAAGCTGATGCTGTTTTCTGCTGTCACTATCAATCTGCTACCCATTTAATAGGTTTTGAATTGCTTCTAGTCTAGGTTGACATTTTAATAACCATTAAGAAACCTCTCTGACCTTTTAATTGTCTGCATTATCCTTTGTGTATAAATCTGACATTTTGGAAGGACAAAACAGAGCAGCCATAGGCCTGGAAACAAGGGTGGGTTTTTCATTTTGGTGCTCTCTGTCTAAAGGGCTCTCACTGTTGCTGTCACCACCTTAATGATGCAGAAGTAATATGCTGATGTTTTTGCATCACCTATAAGGGCAAAAACCTTCACTCCCTATTTTACCTTCTTCATACTTATTTCTCCTGGCACCTCAGCTTCCCCCTTCTCCTTTCTCTAATGGTTACATGAAGTGTCATCTGAATTCAAGACTTGCCCAGCAATGACCATGGACTGATGTCTGTAATGCTTCAAGGGCTTTCAGCAAAACCCAAGTGAAATATTCAGGAAGCCAGAGTCTGAGCCATCCTGCACCCCCAGACTTTGTGTTAGAGCTGCTTTTGTTTATTATTATTGGTGGCTCAAGGAGCATTTCCAAATTATAGTCAGGTCTCTGACATTCGTGGAAGCTTCATCCATGTGTGTTCATAGTAAGTAAGCAGGCTCTTTGCAAGACAGAAAAGTAAGCTATATTTCTCCTGTATAGCTCAATTTATTTGTGTTTTAAGTTATTTAGAGGATATTTACTGGAAATTTCTTTATGGGCATAAGGGAAAGTTGAAAAGCAACACTGGCCTATGGTTGTTTCCTTGACATTGTTGAATTATGTCTGTGAAGTACATTTAAAATTTAACTAAAAAAGCTGCATCTGCTCATTAAGAGTTTGTCTAGATGGTGGGTTTTCTCCTTGGCTTCTGGACAACTTGTTTTGGTAGAAGCCTGCTGTATGTTTTAGAGTGGTGAACTGCAAGAGGCACCTAGGAGGTGGTTAGTTTTCACTTCAGCTGCTGTTTCTGACTTTTATTTTGTACTTTGATTGGCAAACTGTATTCCTTTTAGGAAGAGCACCACACGGAGGTGCAGAAAGCACAAGAACTCAATCAAAATATAGCAGGTGTGAGTGTCTGTCCTACCCTGACATGTCTCCACCTGTGTTCTCATGGTTTGTCCTCAGCACTGAACGGGCTCCTGCAACGGTCTCGATCAGCACAGGTGCACAAGATTTCTCCCCCATACAAGATTCCCCCAGAGACTTCTGGACTTTGTTGTTGAGCAGTGAGTCACTCTGTTGGTTTCTTACCTCTCACAGTTGGGTCCTGCATAGTTCTCCTGGCAGACACAGCGCACACTCCCACCCTTCCTGTAGCAGGACACGGCAAAGCTGCAAGGGCATCAGAACCAGCAGTTAGAGGAGCAGGCAGCAGCAAACTCTTTGGAGTGTTTCTGTATTACATTACAGACATTTGCTGCCAGGGTGGGCTCTGCCTCTTGGTTACTCATTGCTGAATCCATCATCTTAAGCTCTGGATGTTATTTACATTATACCCCTCGTTGAGACTTTTTAATTATTGCAGGATGCACTAATTAGTGTGTAGCACTATGGAGCTGCATGAATGCACACAAATACAAGTGCCTGTCTTGCAGGGGAGACCAGACACACCTGGAGGTTTTGATACAGACATTTTAGATAAAAGACTTAGGCTCAGTGTGTGTGCCATGCACACCTCATTTCTTCCCGTCTATTATTCTAGGGGGTGAAATATTGCTTATGAGGGACACCCCAGTCAGCCCTTCAGGAATTCCTCTGGAATGGGGACAGCAGTTCCCTGTGCAAACCCTGCAGTTTTCCTCAAATGCAGTCTGGAAGCAGGGAGTGGTGAACAGCAATCCCAGGGATGCTGTGCATCTTCCCAGGGAGCCCGGCTGCCCGGCCAGCGCTCAGAGCGCTCTGGGGCCAACATCAGGCAGTGCTGCTGCTTCCAGTGGTGGCTTGGGCTGGAATTGTCACTGCTGGCATTCTGAAGAGTGGGTTTCTTTGCTTTCTCTTCTTTTCAGGATTTAACAACTGTGTGAATGAATAGGAGGCCCCAGGAAGAGCAGCAGCCAGATGTGGGAAGCGCAGATGGGGTGCAAGGGGCACGGCTTAAAAACTACTGCAGGGAAGAGACATACAGCCCTAAAGGTGAGGCCTCCAGTTAGTTTGCAATGTGAGTCAGTACATTCCTACCAGCCCTGGAGTGTGAGCAGAGCACTGAGGGGCAGCAGCTGCTCCTGGCTGCTGAAAGGCAGGTCCTGAGCCACACGGGGCTGGGCAGCCTTGGGCAGGTTTCACCCTCTTGCACAGCAGGACACGAGGCTCAGAGCCATGGGGAAGAGCACGATCCAAGCACTGCTCCTTCCAGGAACAAGCAGCACTGGGAGGTGACAAGGATTCCTGCATAAAATCAGTCCTGTTCAGTTTGACAGCCAGGGTCAGCTACACCTCTGTCTGCATCTGTGCTGCCTCCAAGTGCTTCGTATAGCCAGAGAAAACATGAAATGAGATTCTTCTCACAGAATTCACAGACTACCTTCAGCAGGGTTTTCTTGAGAACATATCAATAACACCATGACAGCTTGGCAGCCTTTTTCTGCCTTCACAGAGGCTAATTCCTTCACATAGTTGAAAAAAACCCACATGGTGGATTTAAGTCATGAAATAAGACTGGAGCCTCCCTGAGGTTTTATGGATTTTGTGATTTTTTTTTTGGGGAAAAAAAATAGTTCATAACATTCCCTCAGGTTTGAAAAGAAGTAACATCTGCTGGGCTGTGGAGCCACCTCCCTCCTCCTTTTTCTGTTCCAGAGAGATGACATTACACTTCATGTGCAATGTCCAAAAGTCATTCCAAAGGTTCCCAGGACAGCAGACATGAAGATAGCCTGGCCAGAAAACATAGAGACACCCAGATGGTTCCCAAGAAGGACTGTGTATCTGGTGAGACTTTCAGCTCACAGATGTGGTCACTTGGTCTAGCTATTGTGAATTCACTGGCTATTTCCCCAGTAAAATAGATTACAAACCAACATTCTCTGATGTTCTTCACTTAAGGCTTTTCATGCTTCCCTGCTTCCTGGTAGTTACTGTTTTACCCTAATAGAAACGGAGTGGGATTAATGGTGGAAAAAAATTAAAACAAACAAGAAATCATGGCTGTTCTCTGGCTGTAGCTATGCAAGGCTGAATGTTGCTCAACCACTACTATTTGCCTCCTCCATCCCCAGCTGCAGGCTGGTGCTGTGGTCACATCTCTCTCATGCAAGAAGCTGAACAGGCAATTTTGTATGTTATTTAAATAGGAGCCTTAAGCAAATTTGAATTGGGTATTTCTTTAACTATTGCCTTCAGATGTTTCTGAGGGAAACCTCTGAAGACCTGAAGTGTATTTCTCCT